GTATTGTGAGCATCTTTCTTCAATATTATCATTCTTCACATCATCCAATGAAATTTTGTTGTAGGAAGCTAATGAATAAGAGGGTATACCAGTTGATAATTTAAAACTTGAGTCAGCTGTATAATATCTTGCCCATTCTGCTATATTAACAACAAATTCTTTTTTTGTCCCATGATTTATTTGCCAATATTTCATTGATTTGTCAAAATTTTGTTGACCGGTGGTGACTGACTCTTTTAAAAGCCTTAGTGACAATAATGCTTGTGCAATAAATTTTCTATTATATCTCCATGCTGGGTAGTCATTATTAAATGCCACACCAGTGTTAAGCTTGTATTCATGAAGTGAACCTAATTCAGCCCTATTAAAAAATTTGTTTCTCGGTGAATTATTAAAAACTTTTTCAACCTCCTTTGGATCAGATACAACGATACATCGTTGTGTCATAAGGTAAATCTCGAATGTATTGCCGTATTGCTTTGTTGCTTTTAACAAAGCCTTTGACATCCCTAATCCAAAAAGATGTATATTACCAATAAGTGGTAATGGTATGGGTCCATTGAGAGGATTTATACGAGTAAAATATTCATAATAAAATTTTACAACATACAAAACAAAAACAACAAGTAAAATTTTAACCCATTCAAGATTTAAAATAATATCACTGCTCATAGTAATTTTTTGAAAAATTTTTAATAAATTCATTTCGAAAGATTTATTTTGAAGGTTGTTTTAATGAGAAAAATCCAATTATTTATGCATACAATCCAGTCCAGTACTTTTTCAAATTTGGAAGCAGTTGTCTCACAGAGAACGGATGTATGTATTAATATAGTAATAGTAATAGTGATCGGGGAAAACTCTATTGAATGTGACCGCCAATATTATGATTTGAAAGTACTTAAAAAAAAAAATGTAACCGCCCACCATAGATTCGCATTAATAGAAAATGGAAAAGGTCGCCACCGCCTTTATTATTATATATAACAAGATTTTAGCAGAGGATGCGCAGTGAGCTTTTTTGAACTTTATTAATAATATTTGTGTAATAGAAAAAAAAATCTGAGATTCTCATATTTAATATATATATTAATATTTAATTAATTAATTGGCCAAGACCTCTTTGGTTTACATTTTTCAATCTTGCATACTCCTGAATTACAGATTGATCAG